ATGCACACACCAGAGAGAGGGGAGAAAGTTAAATAAAAGCTTGTGATAATTCGCCACAGCTACATTATTTTTTTAAACAATGACTATCAAGTCCAAAACGCACGAAAATATAATTTTATATAATTTTATATAATTTTATATAATTATATAATTTATAAATAATAGTGTATCCGGGCTTAAGCATTCATCAATATTTTTGTATTGTAATTTGTTGTGGCGTTTAGAGAACCCATTTATAAAGATACGATACCCACGCTTGTGAAGTGTATCGTCGAGGCATATTTAAAAATTAGATCCCATAAACTGGAAAATATTAAAATATTTTAAATGTAAGAATGTTAGTTAAAGTATCTCATATATTCAATAAAATGAGTACACAGAACTTTATACAATGCTAACAAAGTCTGTATTGTTAATTTTGATACATGGTTTGAACGAATATCTTTCAGAATCGCATACTGTGTAATCGATACAAATAAACAATTCACGTCCATTAGCACACGTTTCCTTTAAAGACTACGAAACAGGTAGATTCTAGATTTAGATTCTACATCTGAAGTCTAGAATCTAGAGTAGATTTCGATCTAGAATTTTGATTAAATAATCTTGGTTAGATATTAGCTTCTAGTTCTAGTAAATATTGATATTAGCCATGTCCGACAATAAACTTGCTCAAAATCTGTGTTGAATCGTTGATGCCATTTTTCGGTACAACTCCATTTTGGCATTTAGCGTATTTTATTTCTCCGCTGCTTGTTTACCTCCAGTTGAGCGTATTTTATTAGGCCGATTCTAGTCGGAATAAGATACGCATGCGATGCGCAATGGAGAGAAACTACGACTTAGCGGCGATGTTTTCGATGGTACTGCGCATGCGTGTGTTTACAACCGCAGAACCCTAATACCAACCCTAATCCTATCCTTAACCCTATCCCTAATCCTATCCCTAACCCTAACCCTAGCCCTAATCCTAACCCTAGCCCTAATCCTATCCCTAACCCTAATCCTACCCCTAACCCTCATTCTAACCCTAGCCAAAGGTCACTGCGCATGCGCAGAACTATCTTTTGCCGAAAAATCTTATTCCGAGTAGACACTTCGATTTTATTATAACAACCGAAACACACCAAAACACGATTCATTTATTTGTATTGTATTTTTGTTTTGTATTGTTACAATTATCTCCCAGGCATGATACTATAAAATACTATAAATATAAATAAACATTAATGAACTTACAATACAATGACCCCAAAACTGAGGCCAACACAATTTCAAATAGCAATTGCCTGAGCTAGATCTATGACGTATGCTGATAATTCAATGTCAGTGTGAACCCGCGACTGTGTAAGGATTTTTCTGACGATTACACGAGATTCGATATTTAATTGGAACAGTTCTAATGCTTTTTATGTTTTTTTTACCTTTTCTAATTAAAAATCACATTCATTAAAAAAAGGCCAAGGCTATTCCCAGCCGGTTGGGAATAGCCGTATTGGGGCTATTCCCAGCCGCCTGTGAATAGCCCCAATACGGCTATTCACAATCGGCTGTCATTTCATGCTAAATACGACTGTGAATAATATCTTAAAATAATAATTGTGACTGGGGAATGAGGTATATATGAGGTATATTAAGAGAGCAGTGCTATTTTTATTTTGTTATAAAAAAGTTATTACAATTAAAATTTAGTTTAGCTTTTAGGCTCATATCAGTATCAGACATATCTGCTACAGGCTACGTAGGTCATAGATGATCAATTATGCACTCTAAATCTAAATATCAGGTGAAATAGGATGTCATTTTTCATCAGCTATAATTCACAGTTTCCATCGCACTTTTGTGTTTTTTCTCTCTTTTTTTTTTTTTGCTGATATGCCACCAATTACGTCACAAAAAAATTAACAAAAGTTACCCTTCGATGAGTAACTTAAGTAACTGAAAAAAAATTTTGATATTAAGATTGAGAGGCATACATTAAGACTAAGAGTCATAGAAATAGAGCATCTGATGGATTTGAACCAACACCTTCTGACACGGCAGCCACTCCCAATGACCGCTGAACCACACATCTTCATGCCTAGTTAGGTATTTTTAACATTATATCTATCAAACACGGTCACTGGAATACGACTGTGAATAGCCCCAATACGGCTATTCCCAGTCGACTGTGAATAGACACTTCGTTAAAAAAATAAGTAGATCTAGTGTTTTCCTGACGTTTTTGTGTGTTTCGGTTGTGTTTATAATAAAATACGCTCAACTGGAGGTGAACGTGAAGCGGGGAATAAAATACGCTAAAATGGAGTTTTACCCCAATTTTCTATCATTTTTAATGATGATTTGTTTGTTGTGTGCAATGTGTCATTGTGTGGTGTCTACAGTACAACTACTAGATCTAGTACAAGTCCACTAGTCACAGCGTCAAAGTCTAGACCTATAGATCTGGTATACATAACATAATAATATTATAAATATAAATTTAGAATCTAGGCTAGGGTAAAACTCTATTTTCATTTTAGTTTTTTAGAGTAGATCTAGATTCTAGATCTATTTGGTAATCTATCGGTTTAGCCTTAGTTTAGGTATGTAAAATCGCCCGCGACTAGTAATGTGAAAGACAGGTGACTCCTTAAATTTTAATAATTATTTCATATTTTGAGGAGGATTTATGTTTTGAAAAATACAAAAATGTTTCTTTGTTTCATTTAGGTTAGGCCTATGTACCTGTTTTCAAACAATTGAATTAAAACTTTTAATAATAAATGAAGACTAGCGATGTTTCCAACAGATGCACCCATGCTCATTTACTATAGCAGCCATCTTGTTTAAGTTCTTTCTTTGTTAACTTATAGCGCGAGATTCAGGGAAGGCAACTCTATTTTAAAGTATTTTACAAATTGCTGCTGTTTATATAGGAAATCCTGCTCGCAAACATCAAACACTGCTGTTTAAAGTTAATTTCCTGCCTATATTGATATATTTAGCTATTGATTTATGTTTATTATTCATTTATCTATAATATTTGACACAAATATATCACAATATACTTCTATTAAAGCCTTGACAATGAGGTAACTTTTTCGTACATTACTAGCCGCGGTCGATTTTTACGTACCCAAAACGATAGATTACCGAGTATTTTATCCCCCGCTTCACGTTCACCCCCAGTTGAGCTTATTAAGTTATTTTATTAGGCCTATAAACTAATATAAACACAACCAAAACACACAAAAAAACAGTAGGAAAACATTGGGCTTATTTCTTTATGAAGTTTTGTTTTAGTTTTCATAATCTACTTTTGTCAAGACTTAAGAAAAATCCAAATTTGGAATAGGCCTATTGAATCTAGATCTATGTTCGTGTGTCAGTTTAAATATTTATGGCAATGGGTGAAGTACGAAACTCACAATTACAAGGCGGTTAAGTTTGTATTGTTACAAATATCTCCCACGCATGATACTATAATTAAACTTTTATGAACTCACAATGACCCCAAAACAGGCCAACACCATTTCAAATAGCTATTGCCCTAGCTATGACGTTAAAATAAGTAGATCTAGCTCTAATCCTAGTGTTTTCCTAACGTTTTTGTGTGTTTCGGTTGTGTTAATAATAAAATACGCTCAACCGGAGGCAAACGTGAAGCAGCGAATAAAATACACTAAAATGGAGTTTTACCTAAATCTAGTCTAGATCTAGGATTGGGTAAATTGTAAAATTCGGCTCAGTTACTTGACATCATTTATTAGGGAACACATGTGATCTAACCAAATGCCAGTTACAAATAATGAGCCATCACTATATAGACCCTAGTTAAAGTATGGTCAGCTTTTTAAAAATATGAATTCAGTTATGAGTAGAATTTGCATTGTTCCCTACCTTTTGGAAGTTGTACCAAAGTTTGGGGCGGAGTGGTCTAGTGGTAGAGAGCTGGACTGCTAACCTGTAAGTCTCGAGTTCGAATCCAGGTTCAAGTCAGTAGACGGTCCCTGAGTCCACCCAACTCTGATGGGTACTTACGTTAGGGAAAGTAAAGGCGGCTGGGCATAGTGCTGACCACACTATCTCTTCATATGCTGAGGTCACAGAAACAAGTGAACTCTACTTCACTTGCCCCATAGACCGTCTGGTTTGAAAGGGAAACTTTCTACCAAAGTTTGTGATTAGCTTGTTAAGTTTAGGCTTTAACCTATAGAATACTATAGATCAACAAAAGTCATCTAGCTAGGCTTTGATACAAATAAAGCCCCAATTGTCTCAAAGAATGATAAAATCACATGTTGATATTGTGGTCTGGAATTCACCTTAGGATGAAGGTCCATATGGACTGAGTCATCGACTCAATAAGTTTATGGCATATAGGTCATAAAAAAATAAATTTGTGGAAGTAACAAGTGTACACAGTAACTTCAAGTGTTAAAGTTAATGTAGTTGAAAGGAACAGGTTTAAAACAAGGTTTTCATCCAGAATACATATTATTTTAATTCAAATGACAGTGTGAATTTTATTAAAAAAAACACTAAAAAAGATAATCACCAAATCTATTTTTTTTTAAAAATTATTTGTTCTGTGAGCAAGCAATGAAGAATTCAAACCTGATGTAGCCATACTAATATTATAATACTTCATAGACTGAAGAAAATAGAAGAAATTTAAGAACTAAAATTTCTTTCCATGTAAAATAATAGTTGTATAATAATGTGCGTCATTAGTTTATTATTATTTTTTATAGCTTTTTTGATAATAATAATATTTTTAATAGCTTAATACCATAAATTTTGGAGTATGAATGTCAGGTAAGAGTTGGTATGTTTATCGTTTGCCGAAAAACTGCTATCAATAAGAATATTTAGATTGATATGCTACTTGGTACTACCACTATGTTTTCTAAAATACACGAAGGAAACATATTTTACTCTAGTTGAAGCTGGATTTTCAATATTAAAGCCATTGCTTATTTTCAAACACTAATGTTATAAAAAATCTTATTTTGCAGATAAAACAAAACATGGGAAGGTACCGCAGAAAAAAGATGCACAAGGGAGACAAACCACTAAAAGAGAAATATAGAACAAAGAGACGAACTCGTGATTTAGATCAGATCCACAATGATATGAAAAGTCCAGACTCTTTGTTAAAGCAGGACGTTGACCTGGACAAACCAGGGGCTGCACAGTTTTATTGTTTGACTTGTGCGTAAGTACTTTTTTACTTCAACACTGGTGTGTAAGTACTTCTTTTTGACTTCATCACTGGTGTGTAAGTACTTCCTTTTGACTTCATCTCTGGTGCATTAGTACTTCCTTTTTTACTTCATCACTGGTGCATTAGTACTTCTTTTTTACTTCATCACTGGTGTGTAAGTACTTCTTTTTGACTTCATCACTGGTGTGTAAGTACTTCCTTTTGACTTCATCTCTGGTGCATTAGTACTTCTTTTTTACTTCATCACTGGTGCGTAAGTACTTCCTTTTTACTTCATCACTGGTGTGTAAGTACTTCTTTTTTACTTCATCACTGGTGCGTAAGTACTTCCTTTTTACTTCATCACTGGTGTGTAAGTACTTCTTTTTGACTTCATCACTGGTGTGTAAGTACTTCTTTTTGACTTCATCACTGGTGTGTAAGTACTTCTTTTTGACTTCATCACTGGTGTGTAAGTACTTCCTTTTGACTTCATCTCTGGTGCATTAGTACTTCTTTTTTACTTCATCACTGGTGCATAAGTACTTCCTTTTTACTTCATCACTGGTGTGTAAGTACTTCTTTTTGACTTCATCACTGGTGTGTAAGTACTTCTTTTTGACTTCATCACTTTTGACTAAATTATTTGATTCTTTCAAGGCCATTAAAAATTTACTACCATCTGCTTTCTCAGTTTTTTATTCTTCTGAACTTATAGTATAGTATACTATATATTTTTTTAGTACAGTATTGTGAATATAATGATTGCAACATTTAAATTGATGATAGTAGTACCAGCATCTTGTCATGTTCTTAGCTACTGTGATTGTATGGTGTGTGAGTGCTGATTGCTATTTTAAATTCTGTATTTCAGGAAATATTTTATAAATGACAAATCCCTGACAGACCACTTTAAGAGCAAGCCCCACAAAAGAAGGTAAGGACAGAGTACTTTACACTAGAATACCTTTTACTTTGACTGTTTCAATCATGGTCTATTTTCCAGGTGTATTATTAAAGTATGTTTTTATCATAAATGGTTTAGTACTGTTTTTCTGTTGACCATGACCAACATGAGTTTCTCATGTGAGAACTTTACATCTAGTGTTGACTATGCTGTTGATTGCTTGCCTTCATCTAATACCAATTAGTTGGCTTTTAGTTATGTCTGACATGTTTACATGATGAAGCTTTTGATGATTGCCAGGTTGAAGGCACTTGAAACAGAACCCTACACGCAGGAGGAGGCAGACAGGGCTGCAGGGATGGGATCATATGTTGCACCAAAGAAAGTCACAGTCCTACAGCAGAGTAAACCAAGCACAGAAGCAGAAATGGCACCTGTAGACACTTGACGCATAGATCTCTACGTGGGGAGGGGGGCTTGTTATGCTTGTGTATAATGTACTTGTATATGAAAATGTCCTTAAAGTTCATCTTATGCTTTTGTCAAGAGAATATTTTATGTAGGTTTAAGTTGCACACAATTTTCAACAATAATTTCTATGTACATTCTACATTTTTACCAGTATTTATAAATACTTTTAAATATTTGTGCAGACATTTCAAAATACTTCAGGTTGATGGCCATTGACTGTTGAAGATTTTCCTTCTTTGTAAATATTTGGTAACATTATTATTACCGTCACTTCTTTTCTTTCAAGTCAAACCTAACTTGAAGTTAATTCAGTCATAATAAGGTACAAAAAAACTAATTAAAAGAGAATTGTTTAAGTTGTGTGCATGTGGAGCTAGCTATAAGTACAAAAACAGCAGTTTGCATACTTTTTGACTTTGGTTTCATATGGCTGTTCCCCATTGTCAGTGAGTAATTAAAAAACAGCATTCATATCAGCTGTTCCCTATTGTCAGGGAGTAATTAAAATAAAGCATATGAAAAATATCACAAGAAGCCAGATTTTTTTTTTGTGTATTTATTTTCCACCAGCGACAAATGAATATACATGAACTAACCAATGTGGTACACTGATAACACAAGTGTCGACTGCTGGATATTTGTGTGACCTTGAACCTTCACACTGTGACCCATGACCTTGGACCCCCTTCATTGTACTGATGTTTGTACATGGAACATCTACAAATCTACCTCTAGTAACCACATAGCTCGCTAACACATTGAAATTGACTTGTAAGTTGGGTAACGTTAAACTAAAATTTTATAGTCTTGTCCAGATCTACACACAGGCTGTGTGTTTACAGTCACAGGTCTAAGTTGGTCAGACCAACCTGTTGGATGGTTGGACTAACTTCCAACCTGTTGGATGGTTGGACTAACTCCCAACCTGTTGGATGGTTGGACTAACTTCCAACCTGTTGGATGGTTGGACTAACTTGCGCTTTGATAAAGTTTGGCTGCACATCAAAGTAAATAATAACACTGGGCTCAGAGTAAGGCATTGAATTTGTTTTCAGTTGGAAAAACTTCACCACTTTGTAGTTTTCAATCAAATCCTTTTTAATTTATAGAATCTAACAGTAGTAGCAGTAGCTTTTATTGACAAAAACTGAACAGAATGTAAGCAGTGTTTTAAACATACAATGTTACTATACATTTTAACCAAGCACTAAACACATTATCTTTTCCATGAATCTTCAAGTTTAATCCATTTCTCTATCAAACTAAAATTTGGTCTCCAAAACTAAGTAAAATTAATGCTTAAAATTTTATGCTTATTCTGAGCCCCTCAACACAATAACTTATCACAATTCCAGGAAAACGTTTTTTCAAAATCTGGGTATAACTATTAACATTCATATTATATTCGCCTAATCTTCTGAAAGGTCGCTTTCAAAACCAGTTTAATATGCCTTTCACTGTCACCATTTTGTACACAAAATCCAAAAGGGGAAGAAAAAAAAAACATGACTCCCACATGAAAGGTGAAGCACAGACAAGAATTGGATATCTTTGTATGGCTCCATGGTTTTGAAAAAAAAAGCAAGATCCACATTCACAGTGTAAAAATGATCAGAAATGCTGATTTAACTATTTGGGATGAATGCCAAGATGGATTTATTGAGGTGAATGTTTCACTAAAGACTAATCTCCAAAAAAAGTTAAATTCAAGTGAGGTTATTTGCTTATGAATTTTATGCCAGTGATTTTAGTTTAGGTGATAGTTTTTCAAATAAAAAGAATGTATACCAGTAACTATAAAATGAAATATAAATGAACCAGACAATATACAATTTTTTGCTGACTAAAATAAAACCAGACTTGACCACAAGACGATCACATCAAATGTATCATTGAACACCCCCAATGATAGCTGATATTTACAAGTTTTGAACAGCTAGTCAACCCTTAGAGTTGAAGCTTAAGTAGGTTAACAGTAGTTGGATATGAAAGTATATTGAAAGCCAATTTTGTTTACTAACTTGTACTAAGTTGTACACCTAGCTTGCAAAATAAATTTTAAAAAGGCTGACTTTTAGGTGTAGGTAACTTCTATAACATTTCTTTTTAATGGGCAGTTTGCCATGATGCTCCAGTCAGATAAAAAGTTTGGAGTATTTGAGATCTCTCATTCAAAATGAAATGTTACAATGGATTGATAAAATTAACAAAATGACTAGACCAGACTCAACTATTAGAAATAAACATTTGTTTTCTACATTAAAGTGCTATCTTAATACATTGCATTGGTAAGCTTTAAAATGTATGCAATTAAAAAAAAATTAGTTCAGTATCCCTACAAAAAAGGTAGATCATGAAGCAACAATATTAAATACAATATAGTTTAAGTAAGTTCCAAATGACTGATCATCATTGCTCAACAATGCTGTTCTGTGGGGCTTCATAAATAAATTAACACAGGCTTAAGTCTATCACAAAGGTCAGTACAAAATTTCATAAACTACACTGTAGGAGAAATCATTTGCCTTTTTGGGGATTTTATTATACAAAAAATATTCAGGTGATATTTGACTGCAACAAAATTTGAACAATTAATTTCCGTTGGGGTTAATTACTAATTAGTTGCTAAGATAACTTTCAAGAAATAAATTTCTACCAGGAATACAAAGTATTACAAGAGTTAAACAACTGTGAACTAGGTTCTACAAAATATCTTACAACTACTACACGGTTTGACTTTTGAAGATAAGTTTCAATAAACACAACTACAAGATGACAGAAAAATAACATAAACAAAGCAATCATGTGCACAAAAATATTGACCTATTGAACTTAAAGCTGTAGCATACTTAATTTTCACAATTTAAAAAATATTTGAGTGCACATTACATTTTGAAGTATATTTCTTTTTAAATTTCCAAACTAGTGAGTAATGGTAGAAAAACATAATATTAACAATAATTATTTTACAGATATATTTTCTTGGTGATGAGAGTGATTTCCCATGTGGTTGAAAAACTAAAAACACTTGACAGACTTTTGAAGTATATGTTGTATGCTACCAATAAAAAGGAATTGAAAAAAATTAATGATATAGAATCAAGAAACTATAGGGATTATGTTTTCTCATCATAGGTTGATTCTTCAAATTCATTCTCATCAAGTAGAATGATAACCTCTTAGTTTTTTTACTGGTCACAGGAGCCTGTTGCCTTGTCTCTTTAGCTTTTCTCTGGCACTTCCTGTAGTGTGTGCCACTGTGCTATAGGGCGTCGTGGGTTGGCCAGCATGTCACTCCAGTGTCGGAGCTCGGTTCCTGAGGAGTTGCAGCCAAGCACACATCGTCCAATCGGCTCTGAGGTTCCGATACGATCGTAGTCAACCACGGTTATGATGAGTGTAACTTTCTGTAGAATTAATATCAGAAAATATTCATTAGTCAATTAAACATTATAAAAACATTTTTAAAGTTTAAAACTTTAAAATTACTTTCCCTTGTCTTCAATGTAAGATATTTAAATATTTTTAAAAATATACCAACACAATGAAGTGTCAATTCAATTGTTATTATTTTGTGTTGGTTAAGAAATGCATACAAAGTTGCTTTTTTTTTAACAATAGCTGCAGCATCTGGATTTTGTTCTTGGTAGGCTTATATAAAAATCAGAATCTCTATCTGGCACTGAGAAAGCAATCTCCAAGCTCATGCCTTAGGCAGAAGAGTAGTCCCTTATGCATTTTCTGATTCATTAAAGCATTCACAGAAACAGCATACATTATGGTGCATAAACTAATTGATATGTCAAAAGTATGAAACTATTTTCCTGCAGTTAAAATAATATCAATGTTAATACAGAAAAAATTAAAATAAATTGTTATAGTATTTGTATTAATTATCAATATAAAAGTTCTATTTTAAAGCAAATAATTATATAAATTTATAAGGTGGCCCAATGAATTAAAATTAGTAATTAACAATTCTATTATTTTATAGAACAATTTTGGGGACAGAAATTAAAAAATATAGTACATGTAGGCTAAAGCCAAATGCATAGAAATGCATGTGCATGGATGCTAATGCTACAAATAAAACAAAACTCTAGCAGATAACATGCAGACTTTTTTAACATTTGAACTAGAAATGTAAATTTAAGATTAAATGCTTAGCCACAAGTAAAATATTACTTGTAATAAATGCCATTTACAATATTAATATTACAAATAGAATTTCATACTTGTGTATTAAGTGAATGATTAAATAATCAAATATTGCTGGCATATTTTAAAAATATATATTAAATATGCTTATTTTGATTTAAAATTGTATATGTTTTTTTTTTAAGAGAAGATAATTGCAAAGAATAAATTATTAGTTAAAATAGTCTTTAAAACATGTTTTAAACTAAAATTATGAACTAAATAGGAATTTAAAAAAAAAAATATTAATTCAAGCGTTTATAAAACTGGAAAGCAAAATAAAATTACAGAAATATACTTGAAAAAATATAAAAAGAATTTTCAAGCGAAACAGATCTTAAGTAATGAAAAAGGTGATGAAAGAATGATGAGATTTTTTATTGTTTCATATTGATTAAGGAGAATACTTTTTCATGGTGGAAATGCATAGCTAAACATACAAAATTATTGGGTAGCTGAGTTGACATTACAACCTGACATTAAAATGGTTTGTGTGTATTGGAACAAAATGTTTTCAGTGTTAATGAACTGAGCTAAAATGGTCAGCATCTTAGCCAGATCACATTTTTATACTGGGATTTGCTGTGTTTTTTAAAAACTCTTGTTTATAGGTTAGTAAAACTCGTAGAGGATTTAGCAATAACAATTTTCACAAGTATTTAAAATGTGCTAAAAGTACAGTACCAAAAAAATTGCAATAAAGTGGCTGAAATTTAAAAAAAAATCTTTTTCTCACACAAACATTTATGTTTATTTTTAAAAACTTTCATAATTTTTGTTTATGTTTATTATGTTGTAGCTTAAAGCCATAGATGCAGGGCTAAAATAAAATAAAAAAGTCATGTTTTTTAACTTTCCAGACAAGAGAGCATATTGAAAATTTAAAAGACCTAAAAATAATAAAGTATAGATGAAGGTTAGGATGGAGCCTACTCATGCAAATAGCACAGAGTTTTATACAAACTATTTAGTTTTAAAATCATTTAATGATCTCATGATCAGGACTATTTCACATTGTATGTCTAATAGCCAATTACACACATTTCTATAATTCTGCTGTATGGAGTATTTTGATTTGTGAAAACATATTCAAAATTTAAAAATGTAAAAAAGAAATGGTTTATCAAATTATATGACTATAAATAAGAGGTCTCTCTTAATCCACCCTTGTTTTTTGCTCATAAAAAAAAATAAAAAAAATTACCAGTATCTATATGAAGGTATATATGTAATTTCTTACATTAATTATTGAAAGAAATTAGAACTGATCAATTGAATTGAGAAAAAAAAAATTAAAAAATAAGGCTATCAAGGCAAATCTTCAATCACATAACAAATATGGCACCCTTGATCAGACCCTGATGTTTAATATATCTGATTTGGCTGCAGTGAAGAGTTCTACTTTGGCATCTACTTGCATGAAACTTGACACAAATAATATACTTCTTACAATTCCACTAACATTGTGCTTTATAAAATAAAAAGAAGCTGCCTTTGATATTTGGTACTCAAAGGGGGAGAAAATGTTTTAATAGTTGAAATCTAAAACTAAATATTTAAACTTATGAATAAAAATATAATCTTTCTTACAGCCCTAGTTCTTAGGGAACAGATGTTGAATATTTATACACAAATATCAAAGTCTCTGTGGATATTTATACATGTCACTATGTTCATTAGCTACACAAATATCAAAGGCTCTGTGGATATTTATACATGTCACTATGTTCATTAGCTACAGAAAACGCTAAGTCCACCTTGATAACGGACAAAGTATTATAGCACCAATGGAACATTGTAACACACAAAAACACAGGTACCTGAATTTGTTCGAATGGAACTTCAAACGTAAAAGATTCATTATAGTAAGGATTGAGAGTGCATTTCTTGATGGTGGTCTTCTTCTTTTTCACCCGTTTTCCGTTGAGCATCAGAGATATTTTCACATAGGGATCTGCACCCAACCAAAGGTGTTCAAAAAAAAGAACAAAGCAAAAGTGTGGAAATTAAACATGAAAAAAGTGTGCAGATTAAAAAAAAAATACTTGGCCAGATTTTTCTGCCATGGCCAGGCGAATTGTAAAATTTGGTTATTTTGTCAGTGTTCAGACCTTGCCTAACTTTTACACGCAATAAAAAAAATTGAAATTTCGCATCAGTGTCTAAAGAAGAATTTGTCAGTTGAGAAACCTGCTGTAGGATTATTGTATATGAAAGCTGTCCAAATAGAAATGCATGTTGCATATGTGAATGGAAAAGATGTGGTGGATTTATGGGATAATATGTGCAAGAACGGCTATTGCAATAGTTGGAACAAATTCAATATTTTTACACATAAATTTAAAATGGCATGCTTAGTGATGTTCATGCCTTTAAGAAACAGAGGTGACTAATAAATGACATAAGAAGTGTTGATTTAATATCAAAATTGAAGAAAATTGTATTGTTATAATAATTACAAGATTTAGAAAAAAATTCTTACTTTGTTTTCAGAATGACTTTCAACAACAATTCTTTCACATAATTTTAATTTATTTAAACTTTTAAAAAATACTAAAGCATTAGGGTTAGAGAAAAAGTGGTTAAATGCCAGATAAAAATGATGACCATTGGGAAAAGCTTCTATTGAATCAGACCAAAAATCATTTGAGAATAGTTATAAAAAGGACAACAGCGAAAAACACAGAAAGAAAAAAAAATGATAAATAAATACTTTAAAATTCAATAAAGCAATCATGACCACTGTCCAAATAAATGTACACAAATGAATTGTATAAAAACTGTGCCAGTGAAAGTAAAAAGGATCTGACGCTGTGTGCCGTCTACCTGAATCTGCTCAAAAGGAACCTCAAATCCAAAAGACTCGTTGAAATAAGGATTGAGAGTGTTTTTCTTAATAGTAGTTTTCTTTTTCTTCAGACGTTTTGTCCCCTGAACTAGGGCAATTTTCACATAAGGATCTGCAAAGGTTTGTTATAAAAAAAGAACATAATCATGTATAGCCTTCAATCCTAGCTGGCCAGCAGTAGGGTGGAAGGTCTGTATGTTGGGTGTCAAGATTTAAGCCTTAAAATGTGTACGTTTTCCAAAAGATTGATGATGATTTGTATACCTGTATAAACTGCAGGTAGATCTAGTACCTGAAATAGTCAACTTTCTGTTTAGAAGACTACGGCTTAGTTGAGGAAACTCAACCCTTCTGCCGTAGGGCCCAGTAAAGAGTGGTGCTATGACTTTCAGCAGTACATTGTATGTAACTAATTAGCCGAGTTACCCTCCCCTAACACATAGTCTAACATTATAACATGGTCCAAAGATGGAGTTAAATTCTTAAGAAAATAATCTGACTTTAAAAAGAAATGTTTTAGATATATTTCTATAAAAATTTCAACAGTGTAATCACAATTAGTTGACAAAGAGTCATCTTAGACAGCTTGAGCCCACAGAAAGAGTTCAACCTATACACATATAAAACCACTTGTTTCACTAGATTATAACTGCTACAAGAGTGTTTGGAAGAAACAGTTAAACCTGTATATGTATAGACGTATAAAACCACTTGTTTTGCTAGTTTATAAATACTAAAAATGTGTTTGGCCTCTACCTGAAGCACACAAGTATTTCTTTTTTTAGATTCAACATGGGTGTTCTTTCTTCTGTAAACAAAACTGTATTAAAACTTCGTTCATTGTCAAAATAAATACATTCCCCTTGAAGCAGGATTGCCTTGATTTGAAGAAAACAATATCCCCAAAACAACAGCAGAACTAAATATTTTTTTTATCGGTCTACAAACTCGAACAAAGTAGACTCAACTGAAAAAATTTAAATTTTTCCTAGTAAAATCTTAGCATTTATTGAGGATGAAAAATACCTAAGCCGGCATTTGTGATTGGTCAGAAAGTAAGAATAGGAAATTGTATGGAGTCAATTTTGAACCCTTACGTAAAGTTATTTGATGAGAATTGTGTTGATGACAGCTATAGATTTTAAAAATATACTTTCAGTTTTTGTTAGTCCCAAGATGAGAATTGACTGCCTATATTAAATGTGTACAAAATGTAATGATGGGTAAACAGACAAAAACACTACACACCTGACAGGCCGCCTACATCCATCTTTTTCAGATTTTTAGCTTCAAGAATGACAACAGTAAGTTTTCCTGCAGTGGGTACATAGCGCAATGAGAAGCAGATGTCGCCCAGCTTGTTTTCCTGTGGGTACAAGGGAGTGCAGTAGACCTTTCAGTGACTTTCTAAACCAAGAATTATCAGGCACCACACACCACACGCCGCACACCACACAATACACACCACACACCATTCTATCTTTAGAAGGCAGCTAGGTACAGAGATATTTTCTTTACCTTCTCAGATTCAGTGTCTGGTGACTGCAAGTCTCGCCACTCCTCAACAACTCGGCCGAGATCGATGGAATTCAGGGGTACTTGAACCTGGCCAATCTGGTCGTGCTTTGAGAAGCGATCAAAGTCATACACAGCAAATGTCAGGATCTTGGAGCCGACCTCAGCATAGGGAACCTGAAAATTGCAGTGTGCTGCTATAGCCTAATGTCAGGTTTTGAAAGTGGGCTGAGATTTAATGTCAACGTTTTGAAAGATGAGCTGTGGATATAATGTCAGGTTTTTTAAGGTGGGTGTGATGTAATGTCAGGTTTTTAAAGATGGATTGCAAGTGCAAGAAAGTAAGAGATTATAACCAAACATGGAAAAGTTCAGGGCAAGTGGTCTCTTCTAAAGCTCTGGTTTTGGTATGTACCTGTTGTAACTTTGTGACAATCCAAAATATTTAAAATATAGGACCTGGGACCTACATAAGTAAAAGTTTATTTTAAAATTTTAAACATGTGTTACAAAATTTTTAATGTGAGAAAAAACTCAGGAGTACCAATAGTTTTAGATGTAAGAGTTACCTTGAAGGTGTCTCATTGAAGATTGGGTTTAACAAAAGTTACCTTGAAGGTGAAGCTCTTATTGAAGACTGGGTTTAACAAAAGTTACCTTAAAGGTGAAGCTCTCATTGAAGACTGGGTTTAACAAAAGTTACTTTAAAGGTGAAGCTCTCATTGAAGACTGGGTTTAACAAAAGTTACCTTAAAGGTGAAGCTCTCATTGAAGACTGGGTTTAACAAAAGTTACCTTAAAGGTGAAGCTCTCATTGAAGACTGGGTTTAACAAAAGTTACCTTAAAGGTGAAGCTCTCATTGAAGACTGGGTTTAACGTCTTTCGATGGACTTTGGTCTCGTACTTTTTCTTCTTGTCTGGGAGCAGGTAGACCTTGACATACGGGTCACTGGTGCCGGACATGTCCATGCCGGGGAGGTCTGCCGCTTGGATCACATTGACAGACAGCTGAGGTGGACAAATACACAACGTAAAGTTATGTGTTAAAACAAAATGACAAACTTTGTGACTTCTATCCACAAACAAATACACAACGTCAGGTTATGTGTTAAAACAAAATGACAAACTTTGTGACTTCTATCCACAAACAAATACACAACGTCAGGTTATGTGTTAAAACAAAATGACAAACTTTGTAACTTCCATCCACAAACAAATACACAACGTAAAGTTATGTGTTAAAACAAAATGACATACTTTGTGACTTCCATCCACAAACAAATAAATTTATAACATAAATTTTTGTTAGGTATTGCTGGCTAACACTTGATTTTTCTTTGAAAATTTTCTTGCAAGAAAAATACCACAAGAGAATTGTTTTTAAAAGAAATCTTGCAAGTGTTGTCCTACAAGTGTTGTCCTACAGGTGTTGTCCTACAGGTGTTGTGTTGTCCTACAAGTGTTGTGTTGTCTTACATGTGTTGTCCTACAAGTGTTGTCCTACCAGTGTTGTCCTACAGGTGTTGTCCTACAGGTGTTGTCCCTACAGGTGTTGTCCTACAAGTATTGTCCTACAAGTGTTGCCCTACAGGTGTTGTCCTACAAGTGTTGTCCTACAGGTGTTGTCCTACAAGTGTTGTCCTACAGGTGTTGTCCTACAAGTATTGTCCTACAAGTGTTGCCCTAAAGGTGTTGTCCTACAAGTGTTGTCCTACAAGTGTTGTCCTACAGGTGTTGTGTTGTCCTACATGTGTTGTGTTGTCCTATGAGTGTTGTCCTACAGGTGTTGTCCTAAAGGTGTTGTCCTACACTGATCTCATCTGACCTAGTGACGCCACTATGTTTTGATCAAAACTTGATGAAAGTAAAGTTTACACCAAACAAGCTATTCCACTGTGTTTTGATCAAAACTTGATCAAAACTTGATGAAGTAAAATTTACACCAAACAAGCTATTCCACAGTGTTTTGATCAAAACTTGATGATGTAAAGTTTACCACAAACAAGCTGAGCCACTGTGTTATGATCAAAACTTGATGAAGTAAAGTTTACCACAAACAAGCTATTCCACTGTGTTTTGATCAAAACTTGATGAAGTAAAGTTTACACCAAACAAGCTGAGCCACACAAACCAAATCTGACCCACACAAACCAAATCTGACCCACACAAACCAAGTCTGACCCACACAAACCAAATCTGACCCACACAAACCAAATCTGACCCACACAAACCAAATCTGACCCACACAAACCAAATCTGACCCACACAAACCAAGTCTGACCCACACAAACCAAGTCTGACCCACACAAACCAAATCTGACCCACACAAACCAAATCTGACCCACACAAACCAAATCTGACCCACACAAACCAAGTCTGACCCACACAAACCAAGTCTGACCCACACAAACCAAGTCTGACCCACACAAACCAAGTCTGACCCACACAAACCAAGTCTGACCCACACAAACCAAGTCTGACCCACACAAACCAAGTCTGACCCACACAAACCAAGTCTGACCCACACAAACAAGCTGAGCCACACAAACCAAATCTGAGCCACACAAACCAAATCTGAGCCACACAAACCAAATCTGACCCACACAAACCAAATCTGAGCCACACAAACAAGCTGACCCACACAAACCAAATCTGAGCCACACAAACCAAATCTGACCTCTCCTTTCTGGAAGTCATAGTCCAGAGAAAATTGAAGTTTGCCTAGCTTGACCTCTGACTTGGTGCTCTCAGCATCTTCATTGTCCTCCATGTTGACAGGAAGTTCATCCAGATCTGGTTGGACCTGTGGGGAGAGTGTGTGGGATAGGGGGCATGAATGGTGGGGAGAGTGTGTGGGATAGGGGGCATGAATGGTGGGTAACTGTAGGGAGAGTGTGTGGGATAGAGGGCATGAATAGTGGGGAAAGTGTGTGGGATAGAGGGCATAAATGGTGGGGAGAGTGTGTGGGATAGGGGCATAAATGGTGGGGAGAGTGTGTGGGAGAGTGTGTGGGATAGGGGGTATGAATGGTGGGTAACTGTGGGGAGAGTGTGTGGGATAGGGGGCATGAATGGTGGGTAACTGTGGGGAGAGTGTGTGGGATAGGGGGCATTAATTGTGGGTAACTGTGGGCGTGTGTGGGATAGGGGGCAGTAATGGTGGGTAACTGTGGGGAAAAGTGTGGGATAGAGGGCATAAATTGTGGTTAACTGTGGGGAGAGTATGTTGGATAGGGGGCATTAATTGTGGGTAACTGTGGGGAGAGTGTGTGGGATAGGGGGCATTAATTGTGGGTAACTGTGGGGAGAGTGTGTGGGATAGAGGGCATGAATGGTGGGGAGAGTGTGTGGGATAGGGGGCATTAATTGTGGGTAACTGTGGGGAGAGTGTGTGTTTTGTGTCTTTAATTTTGGTCTACAATCTTGACAGATCTTACCTTTTCTTTGTAAGAGTTCCCCAGGAGCTGCACACTCTTGAGATCCACTGCACCTTTCAGGCCCTTCTTGCCTTCCTTCTTCTTCCTCTTCCTGCAGCATCTCCGGCAGACACAGTAGACGGTGCAGATCAGAAACAGCAGCGCCCCCGCGATGATGAGTATAATGGCCCAGATTGGCACTAGAGGAAAGGGGAGGTTACTCTCAATATGTTCAGTTACGGAAGCTGTTTAGCACTGGCTACAATAGGCTACTGACGGCTATAGTATAAAAAGATGGTTGGTACATAAAGAAGAGATTTTGAAAAGCTGTTATTAAAATGTAATTGACTAAATTTTGTTTGCTCTTGTATAGTTTTTAATCAAGATATTATTAACCGTAAAGGTGTGATCGTAAAGGTGTAGTGTAATGCTTAGAACTCACCTACCTGTTACAGCACACTAAAAATCTGATCAAAACTACCTTGTATTTATGACATAGACTTAAGGTGGGCAAGAAGCAGTAACAGGTTTAAAATATATATTTAAGAAAGTTCTCTTAGCACATTGATGTGTGAGCTCCCACATTTACATTTGTATCAGTAAACATTGGAAAAAATATTTTTAAAGATTTTATGGTTTAAATAGTTTCTTTAGTAAATAGGTCCATTTAATTAGGTATTTAATTTTTTAATTAACAGAACAGCTGATAACCAACAGAGCATGAAGGTCAAACAGATTTTAAAAGTGTTTGAAATAAAATGTGAGTAAAAATGTGTGCGCTATAGTAGAGAAACTTTAAAAGTTAATCAGAATACGCTTAGATTTTGTACGTCAATTGCATTGTATTGATGAGACTTACAATCTGATTTTCTAACATTAACACAAAATGTTGCCTGCAGATTTATTTACATCCTGAATTATAATTAATTTAAGGTTCAAAACTGATCAATTTAGGAGCAATACAGATCAAATTTAAATTGTGCAATTAATTTGTCAACTTCTTAATAAAGAAACTCTGTTTTAGAAGTATTGTACTTTAAATGTTTTGAGTTAGTTGAAAATATAATTTAAAAAGTACTCATTAAAAGAATTTGATTTTTATAGTTCAATAATTAAAGATAGATCTCTTGGCCTACCCATACTGAAATGGAAAGGGTGTATTTAATAAATAGCGAACTATATCATTTGTTTAGCCAAGCACTGCCTGTTCTACATACATAATTTCCAAATCATAAATGGGAACCACATCCAGCTAAAACATTATTAAAACAACTAGATCTAGATCTATACTTATATGCCAAAAATGAAAAATACAGAGGCTGAGTAATTTACTAATAGGTCCATGTATATTTATAAGTTATATAATTATTATTAATAATTAAGAAATCTAAACAAAAATAAATTAGTGAAAGACATCTTGCAAAAAAATGTAGTTAGTGAGCATGTTATCCCGTATCAAATGGAATCATCCTCATTGTTATTCAATCAATAAATTTTCGGCACTATAAAAAAGTATTTTTAAAAACTGTGCTAAAGTAATAATAAAAAACATAAAATTAATATTGGTACATTGATTGCCAATTATTTGAATTGATTTTAGACTAAGTGAGTTATTTCCCTTAGCAAAGGCCCATCACCCTGTAAAAAAAACATTCTATTCAAACAGGTAATAAAACGACTTCAACTCACGCTCGTCAATGGATTGTTTATCTGTCTCCATTTTAAATTATATTGGTTGGTTGATTATAAAACAAATTTGAATTTTCAAGTTTTGAATATTTCCTCAATAAAGTTATTCCTAATTCGAGACATTTAACCCAAAAAGAGACATTCACAAATGACGTCACGCTATTGGAAACGATTTTATCCTGGAATCTTGACGTTTCCGTGACGTCAATACTACAGTCAGATCCAACCCCTCCTTCCAAAATGAATCTCTCCCGCTCAAATTAACATAATTCTAATATAAAGTAACATATGTGTAAAATGTTTAATTTGTAGCAAGCAACATTACATTTGCACCCCACCTCCTCTCCCATACCTTGAATATCCTCAGAAAATTCTTACCCCCACCACTAGGATTGTGACGTCTAGTATTAAAGACCCTTAGCTTTAAATGTTGGCAGAAAAAACTTAAGTTAGCTGTTGGGACCTGTCAAGATAGGTGAAGTAGAGTTCATCTGTTTCATGTATTGGGATAGTGTGTTCAGTTCAATGCGCAGCCTCATTTATTTTAGGGGGCAGGAGGGGGGGGTGGTCAAAAGTACACAACAAAGCAATCAAGGCATTGATACTGTGTGTGTGTGTGTATGTGTGTGTGTGTGTGTTATTTTTAAGCTCATCAAACTTCAAACAAACGTTATTTCTGCATTTCTTTATCTCCAAAAGGGTCCGTCATTTCTCAATCTGAAAAAGGTCTTTTATTTCTCAATCTGAAAAAAGGTTTTTTATTTCTCAACGTGAAAAAGGTCTTACATTTCTCAATCTCTCCCATGATAGTATCCTTGAGGTCATCGAACTTGCTCTTCCCGCCACTGCTCTCCTCGTCTGCTACAGTCGTGATATCGTCTGCTGGCTCGGTCGTCGTCACCGTGTCCATGGCCGCCCGTCTCAGGCGGCCCAGAGTTTCCATGACGTCCAATGCCGGCATTTTCCGGCTGCGTCCTATGGACAGTGGCTAGTTCCACAACACCCTGTAACACAAGCAGAATGTCGTGGGAGATTAGATAAAGCGGGGGGGGGGGGGGGGATGTTAGGGCATAGGGGGAGTATATCTACACATAACCAAGGGATATGTGTAGATAAGCCATATGACGGAAGGTGATGTGACGGAAGGTGAAGTGACGGAAGGTGAAGTGACGGAAGGTGTTGTGATGGATGGTGATGTGACGGAAGGTAATGTGTCGGAAGGTGAAGTGACGGAAGGTGATGTGGCGGAAGGGGATGTGACAGATGGTGTTGTGACAGATGGTGTTGTGACGGAAGGTGTTGTGACGGAAGGTGTTGTGACGGAAGGTGTTGTGACGGAAGGTGTTGTGACGAAAGGCTGTCGCAACAAATGTAACATATGTCAATGAATTTTCATATTTTCGCCAGCGCTTTTTTCTGTTTGCGCTTTTTTATGTTTGCGCTTTTTTCTGTTTGCGCTTTTTTTCTGTTGTGCATCTTTCTGGTCACCCTGTTAAGATATTGAGAGGTGGAGAAGATATGGAGAGATATAAAAGCCAGGAAAACAGCCGTTATAAGCTCTTGTAGCCCAGGCAAGGAGGTGTAACCCCCCCCCCCCCCCTTCCACCCACAAGAACATTCGCCTAACATCCCGACAGATTCTTGACTGTGCCTTCATGAAAACTTTATCGATCTTGCTAGATCATCAGCGCTGATGTAAGGATTCATACATTCCACCCCACCCCACCCCGTCATGTTCCCTGTGAGTCCCACAGAGAATATATATATATATATATATATATATATATATATATATATATATATATATATATATATATATATATATATATATATAAATAAATTTTAGATGCAGTCATATCCTAAGAAAGGAACGGCTAATCTGGCTTGTGATTTACAAATTATGCATAATCAATTATTTATCTTGAAGGACATACCAAGCTGACCATGAACAAAGTAAAATAGTTGTATGTAAAATTTAAACTGTAAAGTATCACATGACAGCGAATTCAAAATTTCAAACTACCAACCAGTCCCATCAATCAATTATTGTTTAAGTGGCACAGGTTAGTATGCTATTTATAGAATAGAAACCATTCAGCAGTAAATATTATTGTTTATCGTATCACGTGATTACAAACCAAGCTATACCCTACACTGGCCTACACAAAGGGACAGGAGGCAGCACCTTTGGGCAATCTCTTGTGTCATGATTCAATGCTTGTGTCAATGTACCCTTATCGTGTTTATAGACCTCTAAACTGAATAAAATGGTTTTTCAAATCTCTTTAAAATATTTCAGCGACCAATGATTTTACTATTAAAGACAAGTTCGTTGATATTATTTAAACATCCCCTCCCGTCCCCCATACAGATTTTGCGACAAGAAATATTTATAGCTAAGGTTTAGATAGGTTGTTAATGATATAATCAGAGTCTGATGGCATAGCAGAGGTCTGGGTTGTGTTAGTTGGATCAAACAAGACGGCTTAGACAATTGGAACATTGAATTAAATCTTTAATTAAACCTCGCGATTTTAAAAATTGTCTTCTTTTGATCTTAAACAGATTTTCTATCATTAGACGAACCATATTTGTTTATGTGTGTGTGTGGGGGGGGGGGGGATTGAATAAAGGGCTCCAAAAGAGCAATCCCCTACCCAGCACTGTGTGTACGTGTGTGATTGCTTCAGTAGCCTCCGTCATCCACACGCTCCACTTCTCGCTGTCACCACGACCTTTTGACCTGCACACAGGAAGTCCATGTTTTCATCAGTGACCCTAATGACCCCTGGTGTTTACTGGCGTCATTAGCTTCATCACTATCTTCCCCACAGTGACCTTTCAGCTACCTCATCTGTAACATCAAACCCCACCCAGACTGTAACATTCCCACCCCACCCCAAGCATATAACATCCCACCCCACACAGAACCCACAACAGTTGGATAAAATAGCAACAGTGGTCGTGGGTCCAACGCCTGCAGTGTCAGATTTATGCATAAGTAATCCAGCTATCGCTGTTTTGTCGCCAATTTATTTTTGTAACATTTATTTATAATTCTTTTCCCTTTCAAACCGTGACGGAGGCCGAGCTATCTGTCCATTAGAGTAACTAACACCAGGATCTACCTCTTCATGTCGTCAAACTTTTTGCTAAGAACATGGAAATATTTGCCAGTGGCATATGACATCTGGACATAAACACAGCGGGAGTGATCTTCTCTAACGGTTCTGGAATATTTTTATATTACACTACGGGGGATGGCGACTCGGGATATAGACATGAGTTTTATTCAATTTTAATGACTTAACTTCCAGATTTATATAATAACCCATGTGCGCACTTCTTTCTCTCTCTGTCCGCAAAATATTTTCACATGATATGAGATCAGTATCTTGAGCGATATATGGAGGAATTAATACGGACTTTTGTTGAAAATAATATTATATGTTTTAAATGTATAACCTACATTTTATTCAAAGAACAAAAATAAAAATAAAGGCATATTCGAATGTAGAATAACAATAAATTTTAAATTGACAAGAACGCAATGAACAATGACCTCAACATGCCACATGTTTACACTCTGGAAAAACACAACACTAATGGCGTCATCTTCCGATTTTAGAATATAAAGAAATGAACTATTTCATTCAAATTTGATTTAGATCTAGATTCTATAAATCTACGTATTAAGTACGCTATGAAATATATACAATTTTCTCTGTCAAACTAATACAAATTACTTAAAAAAAAACAACATAATGACCATTGAATAGCCGGGTTTGTAACGGAATCAATTAAGTCTCTTAATCAGTGTGTGCATTGAATATGGTGTTCTGTTGACTAATAATGTATAGCCTATAATTTGGTTTTAATTTTTCTAATAAGCATTGGTAGCCTATGTTTTTACTTCCTCGTATATACGAAGTATAGAGAAAGTCTTGTAATCGTGCAAAAAAAAAATCGAGATTTTTTACAAATCTCGACGTTTTACACATCACTGATACGGAAAAACATAATTTTGCAATCTTGTCCGTATGTCTGTGTGTCTGTGTGTCTGTCTGTCTGTCCGTGTGTAAACACGATAACTTGAGTACCGTTACAGCTAGGTTGATGAAATTTCATATATAAGTATTTTATCAAAATCGTAGATCCGTATCAACTTTTGAGCGATTTCCGATAACCGGAAGTGGTACTTTTCCTACTTTGAATTTTTCAAAAGCCTATAACTTGAGTACTATTTCAGATAGATAAATGAAATTTCACATGTAAGTAAAAGATCTAATTCTCTACCGTCTGTTAAATTTTGAGTAATTTCCGTTGACTGGAAGTAGTACTTTACGCTACTTCCGATTTCTCAAAAAACTAATGTAAATTTTAAAAGTACTAATAATATTGCGCACTATTATGCGCTTTTTTATTTGGCGTTCACTTGGTGTGCAATTAATTTGTCTACGAGATTTTATTCTATTTTTAAAACTTTAAGTATTTAAAATGGATTAAAAATCATGTCTATAGCCCGAGTTCCCATCCCCTGTTATTTTATATAAGAATATTCGAGAAAGTTTAGGGGAGATCACTCCCGGTTTATTTTAAATGTGTCGGATTTTTAGCTATTTAGTTATTTCTCTGCATTGTCACTAATATCGTTCATCGTGTAGTAAAGCACATTGCGTTTTCATCAATAACTATTGTATTCAATATTTTTCTCAAACATGTGTAAGATTAAAAATATATAGGCCTATAATTCACGTGTAACGGGTACCGACGGCTAGTTTTAAAATAGAAGAGAATCTCGCAGAAAAAAAAGAATTGCGCAAACACTGAATGGCAAACAATGTGTATAATAGTGCGGAATATTATTAGTACTTTATAAATTCACTTGCGCTTTTTGACAAATCGGAAATAGTTTAAAGTACTATTTCCAATCACCGGAAATTACTCAAAATTTGACAGAGAACAGAGAATTAAATCTTTTACATACGTGAAATTTCGTTTATCAGGAATAGTACACAAGTTAATGGTTAGAATAAGTTCCACCTCCGGATACCAGCAATAACTGAAAACTACATATTTGATGTAATACTTATATACGAAATGTCGTCAACCTAGCTGTAACGGGACTCGAGTAATCGTGTTCACAGACACATAGACACACACACAAACACACAATTTTGCAAAATTAAGTTTTTCCGACTCAGGGAGGTCTAAAACGACTTTTCGCACGTTTACAATACTTCCTCAATACTCCGTACACGAGAAATTAAAAACAGCTTACGGCCCTATAAAATCTAAATCCAGCCCAAACTTCTAGGTAAATAAACCGGTAGTGATCTCCCCTAAACTTTCTCGAATATTCTTATATAAAACAACAGGGGATGGTAACTGGGGATATAGTTATGATTTTTAATCCATTTTAAATACTTAAACTTTTTAAAATAGAATAGAATCTCATAGAAAAAAGTATTGCGCACCAACCGAACGCCGAATAAAGATGTTCATAATGGTGCGCAATATTATTAGTACTTTTAAAATTTACATTAGTTTTTTGAGAAATCGGAAGTAGCGTAAATTACTACTTCCAGTCAACGGAAATTACTCAAAATTTAACAGAAGGTAGAGAATTAGATCTTTTACTTACATGTGAAATTTCATTTATCTATCTAAAATAGTACTCAAGTTATAGGCTTTTAAAAAATTCAAAGTAGGAAAAGTACCACTTCCGGTTATCGGAAATCGCTCAAAAGTTGATACGGATCTACGATTTTGATAAAATACTTATATATGAAATTTCATCAACCTAGCTGTAACGGTACTGAAGTTATCGTGTTTACACACGGACAGACACACACACAGACAGACACACACACACACAGACATACGGACAAGATTGCAAAATTATGTTTTTCCGTATCAGTGAGGTGTAAAACGTCGAGATTTGTAAAAATCTCGATTTTTTTTTTGCACGATTACAATACTTTCTCTATACTACGTATATACG